AAAGCAGAAACCGCTGAGGCACACTAATTTTACTTTTGGGCTTTGTTATGCCACGGTGGTTTTTACAGATGTGAGATTATCACATGATCGGGGTGTGTTTTCTTGCCTTTTCTTGAGATGTATATAGATCTCAACTGAAGTTGGGCAAAGGGAGGGTTCGTCCCAAACAGGCAGGCAGCATGATGATGAAACAAAAAAAGCAGATGCGGAGCTTAGCATCCACCTCTTCCTGTGTTGTTTTGCACTTTCTGTACTGATCCGAGTGAAACACATGGCTCCGTGGGGAAATGCAGCTGGGTTAGCATCCCGGCCTTGCCACCCAGCAGCTGTGCAACCTTAGGAAACCACAGCAATTCAGCCGCAGTTTCCTCATCTGTGATACGACAGTGATAAATAATGCCCACCCCCGAGGCTTGTTGTGAGAATCAGAGGAGATGATCTGATTAAATGAGGGCTCAGCATGGTGCAGGGCACAATTATGGTTCTCCGTCCTCGTCCTTTTTCTCATCAATGACACTGGGAGTGGGTGCGTGGGTGGGTGTAGGAGATGTGAGGCCTCCCCTGGGTACTTGCACGCTTCCTACTCCTTTAAGGGAGGTAGGAGGCTGGGTGAGCACCGGCTGGGCATCGCCCCCGGGAACTTGGCTGCAATCCAGGCCGCACAATAGTTGTAGGAACATTTGACACTGGAATAACACAAGGCCACACGGCAGGAACAGAGGGGAAGTAAAAACTGCTACGGCCACACCAGGGGCAGCGCGACACGTGTTTCCACGCTTATTTATAGAAGCCGCTCCACCTCAGTGGCAGAGAGCTTTTGACAGTCCTAATTTATTTCTGGGGAAAATCCTTGGGACAAGATCTTTTTCTTTTCTCTTTTTTAAGTAGTGAGGACTTTAGTAAGTGGGCCGATGGCAAAGGTAGGTGAGCCGAAATGACAGGCACAAAAGGTCTTTTCTTCGTAAACATTATTGCCTTGGATTCGTAGATAGGATGTTATGAATAGTGAATGCAGATACGATGTTTCTTGAATGATTTTGTGATAAAATAAATAGAGAAACTACTAGTCGGACTAAAGTATGAGAAAATTAGGGGAGCTCTTAAAGTTACAACACGGTCAGGACCAACATTTGGGTAGTGATGATGGTGATACTTCCTGTGGAGAAAGTGTACAAATAAAGGTTTACAGCCCCCCATTCTTGTGTATGTAAGACTCAAAGAATTTGTATGTTGTGGATGTCGCCGAGGTCCTGGGCAATCGACACCTGTTTTAGATGCCAGTGTTTATAACCGATCACTCCCACGCTTGTTGGGACAAAGAATGTTTCTGTGTTTTGGGTGCCACTATTTGAAAAACTGTCTGTCACCGTTGTTTCTTTTGAGTCCTGAAGAAAAGGCTCAGTACTGAACACAGGTCCTGCAGGATGCCTGGTCTGTGCTTGCAGGGGGTTCAAAGCACGGGGTTTAGAATCAAACAGAATCACGTGAACCCTGCCCTACTACTTACTGACCATAAGACCCGGGCAAGTTACTTAACTTCTGTAAACGTCAGTCTCCTTGTTGTAAGATGGGGTTGGCTCGAGGATTCAATAATATCATTTTTGTATATTACGGGAAATGCTAAGCTTTTGAAACAAAGAGACTCCAAAATACAGTGGCCTAAATAAGAGCCACTAATTAATTTCTCTCTCGCCTGAGTCCACACCTTGGGTCCAGGCAAGGAAGGAGGTAAGAGCCAAAGTCCAAGGAAAGTGGCTAGTCTCTGACACTGGAAAAGGGTGAGAAGTGGGATGATCGTTTCCGCCCACGTTCCACCACCATTGGCGCATCTTAGACACATGATCACACCTGCTGCAAAGAAAGCTGGGAAACGTAGTCTTTCACCGGGGAGCCATGTGTCCAGGAAACCGGGAAGGATGGATTTTGGGGAGACAACTAACAAGTCTGTCACAGTATGTAGCTCACTATGCCTAGCACATAATAAATGCTTAAAGAGAGATGCTGTTATTTTCTTGAATCATTTCTAATATGTGTTCTTTGGATGCATTTCCTCAATGAGATCATTTCCTGGAACATAGTAGATGCTCAGTATTTTTCAGGTGAGAAATGCTGGATTAGTAAGCAAACTGTTTTTCTTTCAGTTAAGACGTTGCTGTGCATGGCGTGGGTTTCTCCAGTGCAACCTCTTTCCTTTCCTTTTCTTTTTTTTTTTTTTATAAATTTATTTATTTATTTTTGGCTGCGTCGGGTCTTCGTTGCTGCGCGTGGGCTTTCTCTAGTTGTGGCGAGTGGGGGGCTACTCTTCGTTGCAGTGCACGGGCTTCTCATTGTGGTGGCTTCTCTTGTTGCACAGCAGGGGCTCTAGGCGCGTGGGCTTCAGTAGTTGTGGCACGAGGGCTCAGTAGTTGTGGCGCATGGGCTTCGTTGCTCCGCTGCATGTGGGATCTTCCCGGACCAGGGCTCTAACCCGTGTCCCCTGCATTGGCAGGCAGGTGGATTCTTAACCACTGCGCCACCAGGGAAGCCCCCAGTGCAACCTCTTTCATTTGCTCTCTGTTGTCAGCTGGCAGGGCGCGCTCTGAGGAAGGGCTGGGAAAGCAACCTTCCTGGGTCACCTCATCTGACCTCAGGGCATTGTGGCCCACAGAGGAGGTGTACGTGGGGAACCAGCACCTCCGCCACCACAAGTTGCCTCTACTCTATGGCAGATGCTGGAGAAGCCAGTTTTGAATGAATAGAATTTTTCAAAAAGTCACCCTTGGAAGGATGCCTCCTGTCTGCCCTTGGCTTTGTCTCAGAGACGTGGTCCTGGGGACAGTCTCAGCCCAGTGTCCCAGGGAGGCTGGGCTGGGGTCCGCAAGACCTCTTGGGGCACCCAGGGTCCACCCCATGCCGGCCTCAGCTCAGGAGGGGAGCGTGAAGGGCCCAGCAATCACCAGTCTACTGGCTTCTTGACCGTTTAGTGTCAAACTCACATCAGGGATACTCAGCGATTAGTCTAATTACACCCCTTCTGCCTCTTCCTCTCTTTCCTAGCAACAATTAAATATGCGACGTTTCACAGACTGGTTCTAAGCTTTTCTACAAACAAAACCACCATCACAGCCTGATCTCAGTCACTGAATTATTAATTCCTCACTTAACATAAAACAAATGCCTATGTGAAACAGTTAAGGTACTGCAGGAATATTTATTTTGAGTGACTAAACCATACACTTCCTGTTCAGCCTTAAGGAAAATTGGTCTTCATTATTCTAGGGAAATGTCAAGATCACTGAGTGTCGTAGCATTTTGACCTGTGTTATGGAGAACAAACTCTCCACATGGTTCTCATAAAAATATACATCAGAGGTGGCTTCAAACCGAACGTCAAACTTAGTTAAAGGTACAAACCTCTTCAAAGTTTTTGTGAATATCGAATATAACAATCAAAATGCACATCAGCGAGAACCTTTTTTTTTTCTTTCCCCCCTCAGGGGCTGCTTCATGTTGATTGATTCAACAACTTTGTGAGTTAGAAATCCTAAGTTATGTGAGTGAGGTGTCTGCTCTCCAGAATCACCTCTGCTGGCTGTCGGGTTGGGCTTCAGAAAAACTCCCCCTCCACCAATTTTTTAACAAATGTATATAACCACTTATAAAAACATTAAAAAAAATTATGTTCTATGTCTTCCTTGACCTGTGTGATGATTACCTGGGTGTATACATATGTAAAAGTTTATCAAACCGTACACGTTTCTATATGTGAAGTTAGTTTCCAACTAAGTATGAATATATACATATTTTTTCATATGCCATTTTTTCATAAGTATGCATACATACATATTTTTTCATATGTCAGCAAGAATTTTTTTTTTTTAAGTTCTTCCTAGTAAGAGGTTGACAAGGGAGATGTGCTTTGTGGGCCACTATTTAGTTGATTAAAAATCTTAACTCCGCAATCTACTAGACCCTAGGTATGGCGTTTTGGATCCGATTCCTCGGTACCCTTTGTTGGGATCATAAGAAGAATCAGTGTCTGCCTGGCGAAGGCATGACACCTACTGCTGGTCTTGGCACGGGGAGGGAGGGGAAAGCAGGGTGTGTAAGGGGGAGGGCGGGACCACTACATATCATAAGCCTTGTTAAGTGTTTTGCGGCCCTTGCACTATTTTGTAATAGAGATAATTGTTAAATTCCAAAATGGATCGTGGAGGTATTTTCTTGCTTCAAACAGCTCCAAAGGCTCAATGGTATTGAAGGAGGCTAGGGACTTTCCCGGCGGTCCAGTGGTTAAGACTCCACGCTTCCAACGCAGGGGGCACGGGTTTGATCCCTGGTCGGGGAATTAAGATCTCACATAACGTGTGGCCATAAGTAAATAAATAGCTAAATAAATAAATAGAGAAGGCTAATGTCTAGAACAAAAAGATGTTAAATTTTAGGGCTAAACTCCAAAAAAATTTAAAGGCTTTTATCAATAATATCATTGATAACACTGATATCAAATATCAATAACTTAGTACCTGATGCCTGATTTTCTTTTCCTTTAGAAACAAACCCCTCGTTTAGCGACAGCGTATTGTCACGTTTAAGGCCGTGGGTCTTAGATCCACACTTCCCACTGACTAGTGTATCACTTTGAACAAGAAGCCGTAAGAGCTGCATGATACCTCGTGGAGCTGATCTGAGGATCAAGTGAGTTAACCAAACACCTGGCCACGTGACTAGGGCACCGTGAGCTCTACAAAGACAGATATAGTAAGAGATTTCTGCCAACAGTTGTAACAGTTAATGATACAAATTGCTTTGTTTCATGTATGGAGAGGGGATGCACAGATTGAGTTCAATGCTTCAAGTATCCAACTAAGGACAGTGGACCACCTGAGAAAGCATCTAGAGAAGGAAAAGTATCTCTTCGTGTGGAATTCTTTGGACTCCATTCCTAGTAAAGGATCTCAGTTACGTAGAAGCTTTAGAACCCAACAGAATGAGGACACCATAAAAACTTCTAAAAATGATCAGGCTGGGCATATCAACATTTATTGAAATACTGAAAAAAAATTCCATTTTGTTGAGAAATTCCTGGCAAGAACCAACAGGACAATTTGATTTCACTGATACAGTAAGTAATGTCAACAAGGAACCAACTTCACACTCTAAACATTGCATGGGTTCAGATCCAAGAGAGCAGCAGATGATCCATAAGACAAATATTCAGACATGGCAGATTTTGTTTATAAACATAGACTAACGATAATAAACCAGGCCAAGCCCCAAACCTTCATATGTGAGTCTGTTTTTACTAATAAATCCTGTAGTTGATAAAGCAGTTGCTAAGTCAACGTCCGGCTGTAAGCCACTTAACGATGAACACTAGAGAAAACTCGCTTGCGCGCCTCGCGGGGGCCACGGGCGCCAAGCGGCTGGCATTCTTGTTTATCAGCTTCTGCCTTTAATGGCACCAGCAGCGTGGCTGTAATCTCCGTGTTGCCCCTCTTTCTAGCTGTCCTCATGGTGTAATTTACTAGGCCAACAGCATACCAATATGCGACATCTTTTAGGTGTTAATAGTCAGTGGGGAATACTGTATATTTCAAATAAAACCTGGACTTTGGGAATCAATGTGTTTGTTTTTTACAATTTTCTTGCAATGTTAAGGACCCTCCAAATAACTATCCCCCAAATCTCGAAATTGCTTCCACCCATGTTCCACACCCATTGATGGAACCATTTCATTAACTGCTGACACTCTTCCCCTCCAAACTGGTTTTTAACTGGGGAGAGCAAAGATGCTGCTGTTTTATTTACTGCTTTGGATACGGACTCTATTTTTCCGTTGTCCTCTGAGCCACGGAGATGACACGGGTGACCAAGCTTTGCACGAGGGGCTGTGGACGCCCGGCTTAGCTGATGGGTACCCTTCACATGGACGCGTATTAGAGGTGATTAATAAAAATAATAAAATAATCCTCTTTGTACACACACAGAAGTAATAACCAATATCTTTGGTATACAACTTACAACGCTTGGAAAGAAAAACCAGGTAAGACTCCACCCCTTGTTAAATTTACTTGAAAACAGAGGAGGTTACAAGTCACATAATTTACAATAGATATTAAATAAACTACAGTAAGAATTATGAAGATTTACAGACATTTAATCAAGTGAATGATTTTAATTCATTAAGACCCCTCTCTGTCTCTGAACTATGTTCCGCTAACTTGACATGCTACAATAAACACATATATTTGGTTTCTTCAGTCTTGGCTATCTTAGACAAAGGCGAAACCAAGGAACAATAAATTAGCATCATAATTGTCTACAGTTGAAACTATGATATACAATATAAATAAACTATTCAAAAGCCAGAAACATTTATGAAAAAATTAAGGGACTAGGAGATACTTTCATTTTTTTTTTACAGTTTCTACAAGTGATTGTGCCGCCGATAATCTCAAAAAAAATTAAAGTGTAAATGAGATTCCCGTTTTTGATTTTAGTGTCTCACGACATATAATAACTAAGTACTGTTAAAAATAATTACCAATCAGAAAAATAACATTAAGGTAATTACTGCTTTAGCTCTTTTGTCATATCACAGGTTCCCCCCTCCCCCTAGAGGACCTAAAGAATGTAAACACTCTATTTTATTTGACTTTAAAGCATTAATACTTTATTTTAAACAAATGTTGATCCACATCTGCACAGCTACCTTTGAGAATTGTGAAGTAAGGCAAGACTTCTGTATCTGTGGCATCGCCTGTTAATAATACTGACAGCATCGTTTGGAGAGTTTGTTTCGCAATTCTCTGTCCTCCAATTTGTTCAACAGCAGACTTTGAGACTTAGAAAGGTCAGTATCACTCTCTTCCCTTCCCTTCTGGGGAAGATTTGAATCGCTTTACTATCTTTCCAGACCATACGTAAAGATCACCGTTTCCTCTCCGCGTTTAGGGGATGATCAATTGCAACGAGTCAATTTATCTGCGCATCCCTTCCTTTATTTTGCATAGCTTAACACACTTCAGTTTCGTTTGAAACTATTTAGAACCGTGACTAATTGACATCCCAGCAAAATACATTTCATGTTGTATTTTTTAATGAACTACAAACCCTGATGGTTAAAAAGGCTGATGTAGTCTAACAAGCCTTTCTGCTGGAAATTGTAATGAAATCCTACAGTGCTAAAGCTAAAAGCTTTCCAAGTTTGTACTCGTGGCCCTTAATATTAATTAATGCTTTATATAAGACCAGGAGAGGGATACTGCCTGCTTTTTTTCTTTTTTTAACATGAACACATGACAAAACAAACCAGAACATAGTCAAAATGGCAAGCTAACATATTCATAGACTGTTCTTATTAGCTGTTTGCAGGTCTAAGACACAGACATTCGAGATTAGGCTTTTCATGATTTGGTGGAGCTACTAGTGGGTGTGGCTGAGCGCTAGTCCTTAGTACAGATTCCTTGATCACGGGACAGAAGGTGCCGCGTCCTTGAAAGGAAGAGGGAAGGGGCTATGATCGGTGCAGCTGATGAACTCTTGAGAATGGTTTCAGTTCAGCTTTACCGCGGAGGAATTCTGTAAGCTCAAATCCCCCGCTACAAAAGCCTAATGGATAACCCAGATCAGTTCCTAGATTTCTTCACAGCGGAGATCAGTTTCACTATACAAGAACTGTTCTGTCCATTTTCATCCGGATGTGGTGTTGGGATCCACCTGTGACTTCAATTCACTCCATTCCAATGTCTTTTATACGGAATTCTTTGGGGATGTGACGCCTTTGATTCACAGTCTGCAATACAAACACCCTGATCCATCATTGATTGGCTATTAAGTATTTGATTATTATGCTTTATTAAATTCAACATCTTTAAACCAACTGTTCAATTCGTGTTGCTTGGAGCCATTCAGAGTATTTTATTTCATCTTTTCCCTTTCTTCCTGTTCTTTTCCCCCACCAATCTCTTTGTGTTTTGGAAGCCGCACTCCTAGGGGCTGTAACTAAGCTCGTTTCGCATGCAACATTTCAATCAGCAGGTTGTTGTAGGGGACATCCCCGTTCAGGTGCTTGTAGTAGAGGTATTCCTCGGCCTGCATGCTGATGGCCCGGATTTCAGGTAGTCGGAGTAGCAGCTGCCCGAATTTCTCTGTTTGCTGTGGGTAGTTGCACATAGTATAGTCCAGCAGGGCAGCGTTAACTTGCTCCTGGACACCTTCGACCAGCTGGAAGTTCTCCAGGTTTTTGACATCTGGATTTAAAAAAAAACAAAAACAAAACCCCCACAATAATTCGATGATGTTTTAATTCCCGTTTACCCCAGCAGTGTGTTCAGTTAAAGGAGGTATTTTCCCCCCGACATAAAGCAGACTTGATACAATGCTCGATATTCAGTCAGCCCCACTCACCAAGCTTCCCGGGAAAACGATCACAAAAGAGCTTTGGAAGAACGTCTTGTTGAAATTCTGCCTACACCTCCAAATCAATTAGACACCCATGGATTTTGAGCGAGGTCAATTCTTTTCATATCTCACAAAAGGAAAGGTTTAAGGATTCCTAAAGCAGAGAGATCATAATATATTGCCAGCGAATGAGTCCCTCTAGGAAGACCTATCCTAACCCAGTATATGCCACAATTCATGGAATTCTGTATTAATTTTTCTGACCCAAGGTGAAATCTGTGTCCGGGGTATGATGTAGTTAATTCTAATAAAAAGTGACAGGGTTCTTGTTTCTGTTTGACATTTTCTAAATGATTCTGAAAGCCTTTGACTTGTCTAGCCTATGCTAATGAACCATCTGTACACTCCAGTGACTGCCAGCGGAATAGTCGCTGCTGGGAACTCTCTAAAATATATGTCTCGGTGACTAATGATCTTTATCAAATGAAAGCCTTGTCCTTTAGGAAGAATTCAAGCCAGGATGGCCGGCACCCTTTAACCTTTCTTTCTTTTTCCTTCTGGACACCGGTCGCTCACACAGAGGAGACGGATGCAGGCAATCCACCCAGCCCAACTCCTGGAGATCCTCTGCCTTACAGGTCCTCATAAATGCTGAATAAGAGGGAAACAGAGTCAAAAGACAGACCAACACACACACACACACAGACAATGAGCAAGGGAAAACGGTGGTGGTGGAATTTCTCTTGTGGAGTTTATTTATGTTAACTGTACAACTTTTACACAATGTGTATATAGAAGCCTCTGGAAGAAATGCATGGATATGTGTGTGTGTTTACAGACGTCCATGCTAAGAAGGTAAACAGATGCATCCACGCCTCCCCCCGCTTTATTTTCTAATTGGAGAAAAATAAATAAGGACGATTCTACAGAAAACCACATAATACTATGACTAAAAGGTTAAATGTGCTAAACTCAGTTAAGAGTTACCAAAATAACTCTTATCCGATATTTTCGGCTCTACATGTTGTTAACCTTAGCCTGTATGTATGTACGGGTCCATTTTGGTATCTCTAAATGCTGTTACAATAGGCTGCCTTACATTTGCTGTTGAAATGTGTCCAGGATGATTTCAGCGTTTACATTTTGAGCCGTAACTTTGCATGAAACATGCTTCCCCCTTTCCGTCCCCAAATCTCTGGCCCAAGTTAAAAACAGTGGGGAATTAGTCCCGACATAGTGTGAGCATTCGGCATCACATCTATGTCAAAGTACGATGGGAGAATCAGAAATATTTGATTATTTATTAATGAGATGTACAAACAGACAAATGCTACACTACGAGCTCACGCCTTCCTGTGGCACTGAAACTGACATTTAAATTGTTACCCACTGGACGTTGTACCCAGGTGGCGCTTGACAGTTAATAAAGCAGTTTCCATCTATCTCATCTAAAATGTCTTAAAAGTGATTTTAAGTTATTTCAAATACTTAAGAAATATTAGTTATACTTGGTTCAAAATTACAAAATGTAAACAACTGGAAGGACCTTGACTACGCTGTCCCTGGCCAGATGACAGAAAAATCTACATTCATGTTAGCCTGCTTCTCTGCCATGCCCTTATACTTTCAGAGGCTCACCCTCTGCTTACAGACATCAGTCCTTCCTAAAGCTTCACAGCAGAGAACGGGTAATGCAAAAACTGTTCATCTGAATTCTGACCAACTTCTTAGCACTGTTTCTCTTTACCCTCCACTCGACCTAAAAAAAACATTTAAACTTAAACACGAAACGTAGGGAAAAATTTAGTTTTCTCTTTTATTTACCATTAAGAAGTTGAAAAAAAAAAACACCCAAACAAGCAACTTCCAGTGTTACAGTGATTTTAACACAATCATAGGAAAACGATCGAAATGGAGCACACTATTTTATGCTACAATGAAAGATATTCTCACAGCAAGAAAAGCTAGCAGTAGTCACAGAAGTTTATAGGGGAGGAATTTGCACGGAATGAAATGCAAGATAAACGAATAATAGTCTTTTCAGAAAGTTGTTTTTGAAACCTTCTTTTTTTGATAAATGTATTTTTTGAGAATGAGGTTCAACCTTCTGTGATAAGTTATGGGATTCTGTTAAGAAAAAAAAACAAAAACGGCCAACAGCTAACAAACATAAAACAAAGGATGGATCATAAGTTCTGGTTTATTCACTTACTACTAGTACATATAATCATTAAAATCTTCAGATCAGCATTTGCTGGATAATTTCTGTGAATACTGGTCCAAACTGCCACCTTTCTCCCCAAAGTTTAAAAATACATGCAATTTTCCTTCTGAAGGAAAATACTGTGTTTTTAATGTGTTTATCATTAAACACAAAAAAAGTTATGCTGCTAGCTGGCCCAAAGGCACTTACTAACTGAATGTCTATTTTGTTTTCCATGTCTGTACAGGCAATTTGTAATTTAGTGGCAATGATTCTGATATGTAAGCTACAAGGTCAAAAAAAGAAAGAAAGAGGGATTTCCCTGGTGGTGCAGTGGTTATTACTCCACCCTTCCACTGTAGGGGGCGTGGGTTCAATCCCTGGTCGGGGGCTAAGATCCCACAAGCCACGCGGCACGGGCCCCCAGAAAAAGGAAGGAAAGAAAGAAAAAGATTTTGATTGAATTACTCTCATTCACCGACCAAGAAGTTCCTGGATCATTGCTCGGGCTTATCTCTTTCCGCTCCTGTCTCTCTCACTGCATCTTGCCCCCCTTTATTAATCGTCCATTTCCCTACGTACACTGCCAGCATCTTCGGGTGACATGTTATATATTATATGTTTTAGTCAAGGCTTCCCCAGGGATTTCTCCAATTAATGTTTGCTTTATATTAGTGGTGTATTTGTCCAAGGTTGATTAGTCATAAAATGACCTATTACATTAGCTGTTATGTATCGTATAGCTGTTACGTATCTTACAAGTCTATCTCCTTTCTTTTTCTAATTTGAGAGCAGCTTTCAAAAACTGATTTATACAATAGACCTCTCCCTGAAATATGTTAAATGTAATAGTGTGTTCTGTTCAAAGAATCCTGTGGTGAACTCTTTTGTGAGCCCCTGGGTTCCTGAGTGTCTTTCATTTTCGGTCTGACAGGCAGACCTTGGTTTTTCCACTATGGGGAATGTAAATTGGTGTGGCCACTGTGGAAAACAGTATGGAGATTTCTCAAAAAACTAAAACTAGAACTATATTGCATGACCCAGAAATTCCACTCCTGGGTATATATCTGAAAAAAAATGAAAACAATAATTCGAAAAGATACATACACCTCAATGTTCATAGCAGCATTATTTACAATGGCCAAAATATGGAAGCAACCTAAGCGCCCATCAAAAGACGAATGGACAAAGAAAATGTGGTACATATATACAATGGAATATTACTCAGCCATAAAAAAGAATAAAATCCTGCCATTTGCAACAACGTGGATGGACGTGGAGGGTATTATGCTAAGTGAAACAAGTCAGGCAGAGAAAGACAAATACCGTAACGATATCACTTATATGTGGGATCTAAAAGCTACAACAAACAAGTGAATATAAATATAACAAAAAAGAAACAGACTCAGATACAGAGAACAAGCTAGTGGTTTACTAGTGGGGAGAGGGAAGGGGGAGGGGCAGGATCGGGGCTGGGAATTAAGAGGTACAAACTCCTACCTACAAAATAAATAAGCTACAAGGATATATCGTACAACACAAGGAATATAGCCAATATCTTATAATAACTATAAATGGAATATAACCTTTAAAAATTGTGAATTAAAAAAAAAAAACAGCCAGTGGAGAAATGCCAAAACACAGATGCCACCACCCCTCGGAAGACTTGGAATTTTCTCTTTCATGTAGCTCACTTGTATGTACTTTTTAGGAAGAGTCCAGAAATTTAAGTTTGCTCCCCCAGTGCTCATAGAATTCCTTTTTATGCTACTCAATGCCCTTTCCTGAAAAATTAAACATGAGATACATTTAAAATCTTCACCATTTCCTCTGGGTGCTCCCCTACCAACCGAGCCCTCCTCTAATGAATGGGTGCTGGCATGCTTGGGAGTCTTAGCTCATCCCTACCAGGAGTCCATAACACAGGAAATCCGTGAATGAACTGTTATTTCCCCGCAGTTCTTCTGTGGTGCTTCAATCCAAAGTCTCCCACGTTTGGCACACTACGTTTTTCTTTGACCTTTATGTAAGCTTCATCTTAATCCAATTTAGAAACGCAAGTTAATGAACCCTATCATTATGAATTCTGAGTTGGAAACAGTATGTAAACAGACAGAGGCATCCAACCCTTTCTCTAGCACCTTGAAAGTTTGATGACTGGCAAAATCATTTTGAGCTTCTCCTCTAAGTGTCAATCCCTTATCATCTATTCTACTTTATTCACTCAGGGACTAATTACCAACTTTTTATGTGAGGCAGCATTACGATAAGCTCACAGTGGGGTACTCAGATTTTTTTCCCATCCTTAGTGGAAAGTAAACCCTTAGGTCTTCTTGAATATATTACAGCTGGCTTTTCGGTCATTACGTGGCATTCAGGCTCTTTCTGAAGATGAAGATACTGATTTCTATCTCCCTGGTACGTGCCACGTGGCACAGGCTGTAAATCCTCCCGGTCCGCACACTCTTTTCAGAGACTGGTCCTTTGCTGAGCAAGGAGGCTGGGGGGCCGGGAGACTCAAATGGCCCAAGAATATAATTATCTTTGTTCACTTTCCACACATGGGGGAAAAAACTCATCCTGTCCTTTCAAAGATACGAAAGTGGGGGGAAGAGGCACCATTCTGCACCCGGAGAACACTTCTTT